CTTCTTGTGGTTCTGTGTTTCTCTCCTCTTCTGTTACTTAGGCTGTTTTCGGAACTTCCGGTTCCCATCCCCACTCTCTCATTTTCCGTGCGCACGTTTTTTAAACTACTAAACGGTGCATTTTTTGTAAAAAGTTTCTATACAAAAGTTGCTTTGAAAAATCAAATTAATCAATTTTTGAATAAAAAAAATTAGCTAATACTTAATTAATCACACGCTAGTAGACTGCTCCGTTTTCCGTGCGAAGAGATGAGTTCCCAACCCACAAGTAACGAACACAGCCTTACTTTAGTTCGCGAAAAAAAAAATTTGAGTGTCACATCGGATGTTTGATCGAATGTCGGAAGAGACTTTCGATTTCACAACTCGATTGGAAACCGTGAGACGAATCTTTTGAGTCTAATTAATTCGTCATTAGCACATATGGATTACTGTAGCACTTATAGCTAATTATGAACTAATTAGGCTCAAAAGGTTTGTCACACGATTTTTCCCCTAACTGTATAATTAGTTTTTGTTTTAATCTATATTTAATATTTTATGCATGTGTCCAAAGATTCGATGTAATGTTTTTAGGAAAAAAATTTGCCTTTTTGAGGATCTCTTGCTGGATCTCGCGGTGGATTTTGTGGTGATCAATATGGGGTGGAATGGCCGGATGGGGTACTCCCTCCGTCCCAAAAAAAGACAAACCCTGGTTTCCGTGCCCAACGTTTGACCGTCCGTCTTATTTGAAAAAATTATGAAAAATTAAAAAGACAAGTCACGCATAAAATATTAATCATGTTTTATCATCTAACAACAATGAAAATACGAATTATAAAAAAATTTAGGGTTTGCCTTTTTTTCTGAGAGGGAGGGAGTACTTGCTGCTGACGTGATGGCGGTGCGGTATTGCTGAGGTAGATATAGTAGGTTGGGCATAGCAATCGGGTTGCAGTGCATGCAACCTGCCGCATAATCGTAGTACTACTACAGGGAGATGAGTGCTGCGCTAATTACTGCTGTCATTTATGAGGACATGTAAGCGAACTTTGGACACACATCCATCAGTTGATGGTTCAACGATTGCCGGCTGCCGACGCGCGCGCGCGCGGGCGGCAACTGTACCGCCGCCTCGCGCTGCTGTCACGTACGCACGTACGGGCCCAACCGAAAGCACGACCCGTCCGTCCGTCCATCCGCTTCACCGCGCGGCCGGCGCCCGGATCGTCATCGCGGTTTTGGGTGGTGCGCATGCACAGCACAGGCAATACTGCCAGGATTTCGCCGTGCGCCCGCGGAGACGTATGGGAGGATATATCATCCAACGAGGCAGCAAAACCATCACCGTGACCGATCGATCGCTATAGCTCGCTCGATTTCGCGGATCTCTCGTGATTTTGATCAATCGCTCGCCGCGCGCGCGGCGCCCCCACCGGTGTTTTGACGAGGCTCTGCAGTGCAGGGTGACTGTTAGGACTATACGTACGTACACGTACGAGGCGTATCTAATCCGAATCGAGAGGAAGAAAAGTCTCGGTGGAAATGGTACGGGCGAGAGGGCATCGAAATAGATGGGAGTGGACGATGGCAAGGGAACGGCACAGGGACAGGGGTACGTGAGGTACGTTTGCCCGGGCGTAAATAGATCGAGCGAACGCACTAGTACAGAGCTGTTTTTCCACACGGGCCAAAAGAGATTTTCGCATGTAGATCGGAGACCTGTCTACACCTAAAAATCTACAAAAATCGTCATTTTATCGTGCGGGTGGCGCACCCAACTTTTGCATGCAGGCGCTTAAGCTAGCCGTCAGCGAAGATAAAATATCACAAAAGAAACTCTAAAAATCCAAATCATCGTCATGAAACCCTAGATCCGCCGCCACCCACTCACCGTCGAGGTCATCGTCATTATGGGGAGGGTGGCCACCGCCGGATCCATATGTGGGACGGCCACCGCCCGCCCGAGCCCTCCACTGCCAGAGGGGGCCACGCGCGTGGGGGAGCGCAAGGGGAGGGCAGAGGGAGCCGCCGCGCGCTGAATCCGTGCCGGGTGCCAACAGATCTGTGGCGGGACGATTGCCACCGCTGGATTCGTGCGGAGGTTGGTCACTACCCGCCGACGCATGCGCATGGGGAGCACGGGGAGAGAGGGTGGAGGAGGCCGCCGCGCACCGTTGCCAACGATTATGTTATTTTGATGTATTGATTTGGTGTTAATTAATCTTATTGTTTGAGAAATAAAGTCCGTACTCTTTTCATCGATCAACCGAACCGGATTGTGCAAATAAAAGTTTATAGTTAGAGGCCCACTAATCTTGGTCATTGGTATGAATGTTGGGCTAAAAAAATCTGATTGTTTTAGGCTCTGTTTTATGTTGCCACTTATTTAGATTGTCGCAGTCTCACAGAGAGAACTATATACGCTTTACATTTTGAGACGGTGGGAGGTGACATATGTGTTTGGAAGAGCACCAGGAGTTTGGCGGTGAAAACCAATATATTGCTTAGACTGATTGAGCACTAGTTCCACATTTTAAAAGGCATTGGTGAATTTTGTTTGTATTCATGGCCTTTTCTTCCACGCTTCATTATTCATTTATTCTTATAATTGCCCATGTAATTGTAGTTTCTACATGAAATCACGGAGCCAAGTCCTACCCACCAAGTCTCGACTAACTTGTAACACTTTTTGTTGTAGCAAGGATCAGACGACATGACTTTGAACCTTCAACGAGCATGCTTCTGCCTGGAACGACTTTAACTCTTTTTGGATAGCTGGTTGGGAACTCGAGAAGTATCAACCTCCGTTTGGAGATTTGCTCATTGAAGGTTCGAGTAATGTCTTAGACTCTTGGTCTAATAGGAGGTGCGGCGCCTAATCCCTGCTACAACACTTTGTATCCACGGTTTTCTCTAGACCTTAAGCTGGTCCACGTACACACAATATTATGTTATACTTTCGTTCTCGCTTAATGTAAAAAAGGTTAATTTGAGAGTACCATGGTTGAAGCATAAAAGGGTTATAAGTAGATCGTCGTACATGTAAACCTTCAAGGGAGCACTAAACCACCACTACCGTATCACTTCGGGGTCACTTGAGTCTAAACCACACCACCATTTGTAGGGTAAGGCACCTCTCTATCTCGCTAATTTCTTCGCTCTCGCTTCATTTACTTGCCCCAGATACCTCCCCCCCCCCTCCCGCCGCGTGAGCCGCCTCCTCAGTTTTTAGTGGTTACGTTCCCACCACTAGATTCACCACAACCGTCCCCATGAAGCGGCTTCATTGGTGTCACTATCACCTCACTGCTACACCATTACTATCATCGACCGTCATTCCTATATCAATCCTCAGATAAATTTAGGAACACCATAGCTTCCTATATTATAGAACACCCTGCGTTCTATTTAACTTGGGAACACCCCCATCCCATTCCCTCTCCCTAATCCCATAATCTAATTAGTTGCTCGAGGTTGTTGGGATTTGTGGAGACTACACATGTTCAAATCATGAAAATATATAACAAGTTCAGTAATTTGTAAGGTCCAACCATGAATTTTTTTTATCAGAATGTTGGCAAATCCGTTTTTATATGATTGGAATCAATATTTTTTCTCCGGAATACTATTCAATCTCCCTCGGATCTTCATATGATCCAAACCAATGAGCACTATTCAATTTCTTAGGAATATTGTTTTCCATCGGATACAAATGGGCCCAATACACAAAAGGGATTCAACTCCGAGACAAAAACAGGGAACTACAACGAATTTATTGCTCGTTTGCCTTGCTTGTAAGGCAAGGTTAAGCAATATTGCCAGCTTCCCGTATATCACCCACCAAAATTCTTTATCCCTTTTTCTCCTCGAAGTACACTGTAGGTGTACACATGTTGAGGTTGAGTTTTGTGTCCTTTCCCAGCATGATGTCTAGTTCCATTCGACTCACATGGGGTGTAACCTGCAATGCAACCAATCCTTCCCACTGACACCAAAAGCGCAGAGAAAAAACCAATCAACCAATGCCTAGAAAGGTTTCTAGAGACGATAATCTAATTTATTTAGTCCTACTGTAGTACTGTACCCTACTTTGATATGGAGTTTGTGCAAAAAGCTGTTCGTGGCAATTGTCAAGCATGCCTCACTCAGAAAAATGAAAAGGCTACATACTCTGCCTATACTTCCTTTGGTCCTGACCTGAACTCCTGATAGTTTTTTTTTTTTTTTGATATTTTTATAATGCACTCATGTTTGTTTGGGAGATGAGGGACTACAAGCAGGCAATGACCACATGCTGGAATCTACAGAGGCAGAATCATGGTGTCTTGCCTGTCACTGTTCCCTCCTTTTCTGTTCGTGTCTGGGGCGCCATGTCACTGACATGTGGGCCCACCGACGCGCGGTGGTTGGGATCAGTAGATGCCCGTGCCAACGTCGGAGGTCGCTGTGCAAGGATCCTGGCGAATTTCTCATGAATCTTTTGGAATAGCATCGGCATGTGACAGCAACAAATAGGATGTCTCTCCATCGACATGTGGACGTACGGACGGTTTGTTTGCAAGCAACGCATTCCCTGTCTGCATTATTATTATCTGCTTCCTAGGATGTGTTTAGTTTCACGCTAAAATTAGAAATTTGACTAAAATTGGATGTTTGAAGAAAAAGGTTGTAAGTTTATGTGTGTAAAAAAGTTTTGATGTGATGGAAAAGTTAAAAGTTTGAGGAAAAAGTTATAAACCAAACAAGTGCCTAGTGCTAGTAGTTTGCATCTGCTTGTTCAGAAGTAAAGAGGTCAATCTCGACAATTGTGTTACCATCGAAGATTTGAAGTAACAGTGAGGTTGGGAAGGCACATGAGAAACACACATCAGCACGTAGAGATGCAAGTGGATTGAACCACCTTACAAGTCATTTGAGTGAATCGGCATGTAAAAATGAGTTTAGTATATGTGGGTTTATGCCTTTATGGGCTAGCCACTAGTCCAATTATATTTCTAGCAGTAAGACTTTTAACAGGAAAAGGAAACCTCAGAATATACATTGAAAAAATATGGTTTCCGACAGGAACACAAACTACAAAATTTCCATTCTCTTGTTGATTATACTATTATTCAATGTTTTGAGTACATTTGGAAGAAATGAATATAGATAAACAAAAAGGCAAGATAGGAGCAGCGAATATTACACACAGTCGCTTCCTTCGATACCGGTAGCCACAAGGCGACGGCAAGCAAAAAAACAAGACATGTCTGCTGAATGCAATCGATTTGGCCCTTGTTAGTGTGACTTGCCGAGATTTGGGAACAGCCCATGAATATGCTCATGCATGAAATCGTGCCTTGTGAGAATTCCAACTATAGGGGGCCTCTGCATTGCAAAGAGAGAAAAAAAAAATCGTTAACCAAGGTTAACCCAATCACGATTACAGTGAACTTCCGTTTACGCAAAAAAGAAAGTGGGAATCATGTTTTTAATTAATTTCTTTGAGATAAAGAGGGCTTACTCCTGGGGTCTTTGGCACGACCAGTAGGTGCCTTAATCCTAGTGCCCTGAAGAGCACTGCAGCCTTTGCAAGTGACATTGTTTCGACCACCGTGTAGGGTGAGGTGTTTGTAATCGGATGGAGATCAACATACATGTCCAGCTCCTCATCGGTGAGATCCAGGTCTTCGATCTTGAGGCCTTTCCCAGAGCCTGGCTTGGCGAAGTCGAAGGCACCAAACCTTCGCAGCACGAAGCTACCGCTGGTTTTCACCTTCTCCTTCATGAAGGACCTGCCTTTCAGCAGAACCAGCAGATGGGACCGAAGCACCAACCCAACCAGCTCTGGGGCTTCTGATACAGGTGGCTCGTCGACCACTGGGAACCCATTGTGGCCCGTGATCCTCAGCGCGTGAACGATGTTCCCCACCTTCTCGACCCCGGAGAAGGTGATGAGTGGCCCAGACACGACGTCACCGGCAACCAGGTTCCTCATGAACGGCTCGGCATGTGCCTCCATGAATGGCAAGCCTTTCATCACCACAATCTGATCATAGACCCCCTTGTTGAAGCTATCGGCTATGGTCTTGGATATCAGAAGGACGAGCATGACCAAAGGGAGCATGTGGAGGTCATTTGTGAGCTCCAGAAGGATCACGCAGACTGATACCGTCATCCTCATTGTCCCACCAAGGAAAGAAGCCGCACCGAGCAGTGCGAAGAGGCCTGGGTCAAGATCAGATATGGGACCCAGAAGTGTCCCAACTATGCGCCCGTACGTAGCCCCAGCAAGTATCACAGGGATGAAGAGACCAGATGGAACGGCGATACCGTAGGTGACGAGGCCAAGGCAGTAGATGGCGGTGAAGAAGACGAACAGGGTGGACATATGGAACTCCTTCTCGGTGCCACTGCTGAACAGGTTGCGGATGGCATCATCGTTTGTGTTGAAGAAGAGCGACGCGAGGCCGTTGTAATGGCCCGGTGGGCACTGAAAGTTCTTAAAGTTTCCGGACCGGCCAATGGTGGGGCATTCCTCCGCAGCATCAGCAGGGCACGGCGTGCAAGGAGCAAGCCATGGGAGCCCATAGGAGCATGCTGAGGTGATGATTGATATTATCATGGTGAGAAGGATCTTGAATGGAGGGCCTCTCCTGCAGGTAAGCGTAACAATGTAAATGAGATTCATTTTGAAATACCAGATAAAACTGTCAGCGTAAAAAATCAAATGTATAATATTGGCCCATACTCATTAATAATACTGTAGGCACGGAGAATCCTATCCAAGAGAAAATTGAAAAGGCCTCCAAAAACACCGCCAATTATTCCAAGGACTATTATTGCCACAACATCTTGGGCAGTGTATGTCGGGATGGTTGAACTTAGATCAAACATAATCAACCCTCCTTGCCCAAAGAGACCGCATTTTCCACTACGACAGAACTCGATAAGGCCCCTCAACACAACAGCAACAACAGCAGTTGTAAAGAATGTTCTCCATAGAAGAGCACTTCGCCACCTGAAAAATCATATAAAGAATTTTATCATGGAAATAGATGAAAGCAGATGTGGTCGAATTCAAATGCCCACACAATCGTATTACCTACCCTAGGTATGCAAAGATAGAGATTAATCCATATTATTAAACTACAGTATTTATTAGGACATGAATATTGTAGAATACTATCCAGTTAATTTGCTCCTCTCCCATTCAAATTAGCAACAAGAAAGATGGATTTAGGTATTTCCATCTGAAATGTTGTTTTGTCTGAACAAATCCCATGCACAAATTTGAATTACAAAGCAACATATGTATTTCGGTTGCCTCATGTCGAATAGTTGGACAATTTTCTTATTTAGAGACGAACGGATATTCATTAGGTTAACTAAAAAAGTTACTATGATCAATTCTTCTGAAAAGAAGGGATCAAGGGACCAGGGTCATTCATATCTAACCAATATGGACGCATACAAACTCAACCAGGTAAGATAGAAATTTAATTTGCTTTTGTATTACTTTCTAACATGGAAATGATTACTGTGATTACTAAAATGCTGTTTCAACGCTATACCCAGTTATACACTAACTACGCTTGCAACAAGATCTTTTGTATTATTTGTCCATTTTCAACCAATTGTCCTATTGTGTGCCTAACCTAGACTAATATTGAAGTCTACAACATTCCATGTGGATTTTAGATTGAGAAAGTTATATATCCACTGGCACGGTTACTTCTTTAGAAACAAGACTTCCAGTTTAAGAGTGTCAGCAAGTAAAACAGTAATTTTGAAGCAAATGTAATGTGCGAAGAAAAAGAACAGCTTGAGAAGAGGTGATACCATGATGCTGCTTCCTCAAGAGCAAAGAGCACACCACCAACTGGTGCACGAAATGCTGCTGCAACTCCAGCTGCTGATCCACAAGTAATCAAATCTCGCCTATCCCTGTCGTTCTTAAAATATCTCAGCCAATTCCATGTAAGATGGTATTTGCGTGAACCCCCCTGACCAAGCAAGTTGGCTATGCATGCTCCTGTATGTACCATGGGTCCTTCCTTTCCAAGTACAAATCCAGCTGAAACTCCAAGTATTGAACCAAATATCTGTGAAGTACAAAGGAAAATTTTCAGAACATGGTCATTTTATTCTGACCAACAATTAGCAAAATATGTCTGTCTCTGAACTAAAAGTCAGAAACAAACAAACCTGCTATAACTTATACACCATTATCCTGAAGCTATTACAGTGCAAGATACATGCCAATTTTTTCCTAACTTTCACAACTGATATTTTTTTTTCTAAGTATCATATGCTGCCATGGCATCACCAATCTGAGAAATATATTACTACTAACAATGACACTCTTTCGCATTTACTAATTGCTGAAAAATATAAAACGATAATAAAATGAAGATGATTGTCCAATATATATTATATAGTGAAAGCAGCAAGCTTTCTTGCACGAGGATGTGCCACATCATCAAAAATATATTAGCCGTTGGATAAAGAGTTCGGATAAATAATGACCATTGGATCGAAAGAGTGCATGTATTAAAAAAAATCACAAATGGGCTAAACATACGGAAATTTCCGAATATTTCTGGTATCTCCTCCTAAATATATCATACATACATACATACAAAAGAGAAAGGGAACAAAGAGAAGAAAGAAGAGGCTTCTAGTGATTCCTCCTATAAACATATAGTACAACTTATCTATATTTATAGTTGGCTAGGACAATAGATACTTTGTAAACAAATTAACTTATATCAAAACCTTATTAAGAGCTAAGGTAAACTAATAGACCATATACAAAAGTTCTTAAACAGGATCAAAAAGTCGCGCAAAGCGCAACTATGTGGCTAGTATAATGGATGTATTTTGTAATAAGCAAAGTAGGTACCACCAAAAGTTGACTCCATTCCTATTTCTAGAATTCTGTCCAAACTACCTTTAGGCTTCCTTCGTTTTCATTGTTGCAGAAAGGATTCTACAACCCAAACTAGGCAGTTTGGCACCTGGCCAAACTCATTTAGATTGATCCTTGCTTACCAAGTTAGTTTCCATCTATATCAATTAGATCAATGCCTTGTTAGCCGTATTTTATAATAATTTAGGTATTGTAGATTGTAATAAACAATTTGGGCAAACAATTATGGGCTATGGCTGGGAAGGAAACAACAGTTGGAAAAATGTTGGATATTTTTTAGGAGGTTCTGTGAAAAATGCAATTGTTGGAAATTATCTAAACAATCCAACAATATAAGCTGACAGAAAAGAATAAATAGTGTAAATATACATGAAATATAAGAAATCTTACTTGACTGTGCATGTATGTTATTCTAAGTTTAAACCTTACCTTCACAAATAGTGTACTGGGAGCTAATATAGAATAAGCATCAACCCCATTAAGATATGCTTTAACTTCAGGAATACCAGATCCAGCAGCAGCTGGTGCTATGTAAGCACAGATTGCTGCAGCAGTAGTTGCCAGGACTAGATTACAACCACCATATGCCAAAAATGCTGTGAAGTACCTGCACTGGAAGCAGCACACCGTCAATAAATTTAAATTGCTCCATCGAATCAAATCAACAAACCATATGGAGAATGAGCAGGAGGCATTAATCTGCAACTTTTTTTTTTGAAGCCGAATTAATCTGCCACTTATGGTAGAATAGCAAAAGCACCAGAGTGAAGCTTTACCTCTGCTTGAGCATGAGATCACTTGTGAGCAATAGTTTTAATCCTGCAATATTTTCGACTGCAAGATTGTTAAAGAAGCCAACAATTCCAGTCAACATGCCAATAAGCAGAACTAAGGCCCATTTAAGAACAATATACTGAAATATCTGCTTCTTCTTTCTCGATCGCCAGTCTTGCTTGAAAAGGTCATTTTCCACAATTCTGAAATACACGGTATAAAATTAAGAGAGTGACTAATTAAACGGGCAAAGTAAACAATTAAGCACTGTGCATTCTTGAACACACTGCTATTCTTTCTCTTCAGGATTCAATCCCTGGCTTCCTTAGAAATTCATTGCAGGAACTATTGTAGTTAACTTATTATCAATTTCTTGATATATATTACTTCTGTATGTTGCAGTCCGTTAAAGAAACATCTTAATCCGTCTAAAATTTTTGCAACAAAAATGAAAACACAGTCCTGCTTATATATGATATTCGTTTACATGAAGAGAAATGATTGACACGTCCCCGGAGCAAAGCCCAAAATTCCCTTTTCTTTTTCACTAGCATCATCGTACAATCTATTACATGGTTATTATTTTACAGCAAGTGTTCGTTAAACAATATATTATCTGATTCTTTTCGAACTTCAACAAAAGGCACATCAAGATCACCCGTTTCCCCCTTTAAAATATCAAAAAGGACCATGTTTTCATCTTCTAAATGCACGGCAGGATCCTAACTTTCTTGTGCCCAAGTCAAACAATAAACTAGTATAGTAAGGATCATCCGTCAAGAATCAGATCGTCACCGCCAAACAATAAAAATCAAACTTTTCCCCAACCAAGGAATTATCAGAAGAGAGAGGTCACGGGCTTCGGGGGGCTTACTCGTAGTCGAGGCTCTCGATGGGGCAGACGTTGGCGCCGACGATGGCGATCTGAGAGGTGGTGTTCATGGTGCGCTTCCGCAGCAGCGGCTGGCGCGGGCCGCCGCCGGCCTCGTCGTCGTACCGCAGCAGCACCTCCGACGACTCGTACCGCCCTCGCCACGCGCCGCCGCCGCCGTCCATGCTCTCTATGTCGTAGTTGAAGCTGCCGTCCCGCTCTGGCGGAGGGGGCTGGTGGTGTGAACGCGGCGAGGGGTGGCCGTCCATCTTTGTCGCCCGAGTGGGGTTGGCCTCGCTGATCCTGCCTCGTCCTCTGCCCCCTGCACTTTTATGTGGCGTTAGGGGAGACGAAATTAGGAGAAAGGAAATGGACAAGAAAACAAAATGGCGTTGAATTGTATCTGCAACCCATTTTGGAGAAAAAAAAAAGGTTAAATACTTTGAACATACAGACAAATGTGTTTCTTACTACACTTAAAATTCCCAGTGGCATATTGTTGGTCTCCCAAAACTTTCCCTCCGATGTTGTTGATGGAAAAGGCTATATATATAAATTTTTCTTATGGACTCTTACAAATGTTGATGTAACATGCTGTGAGTAAATCAAGATTTTATTTCATACAATTAATTAAATGGTTAAGGCTTTGTTTGTAAGAGTTTGTAGGACTTCTTTTAAGTGCCTGTAGCAGTGCTTGTTATTGACAGAATGACAGGCCACAAATTATCCATGTAAATTTGTCTTGGAATATATATATTTAATTGTTGGCAACAGAGGCGGATCCAGAAAAAAATAATAGTGGGGCTAAACAAACTAGGAGAGCCTTCAGCCCCTATATCTTATGCATCTATGAAAAAAAATAGTGGGGGCTTAGGGGGGTCTCCATGGTCGGCCCCCATGTTAAATCCACAACTGGTTGGCAAAGGTTATTTTCATGGTGATATTTGCCATAGGTTTGCTTACTTCTGCACAATCCTACGAAAGCACACATTTATTTCGGCAAAAGGAAAAAAAAAAGATGTGTTCGGCAGCCATTTTTTGGCTGCAGCTGTAGCTGTGGCTAGTGCTATTTGGCTGTGCGCCGCAGCCGCATACACGCAGTGCAGCAGCAGCAGCTGTTAGAAACTTGCAGCCAAACACACCCAAAGAATACCGAGTGACCGTACCGAAATGGACGGCTCCATACAATCTGCAGCGCATTGTGAGCGGTTGTCCCCGGCCGACTTGTCACAGCAACCAGCGTGGCATTTTGCTTCCAATGCTCGCAAGATGAAAATCCCAAGCCTCTTCACATGCTTGAGACTTCACATGATTTTTATACAAATTTTGCAGCCTGTCCGTCCCTATCGCTCTAACTACTCACCCCGATCCCATTCGTCATGTGCTCCCGAGAAAAAGAAACGAGAGTTATACTCTCGACAGATCAGTCTAAACTGCATTTGCTTGTGGATTATCTATTGATTATAGAGATAAATAAATATTTTTTATAAAATAAATTAGAACAAATTGTATAAGAAATCGCTAAAGCAAATAATTCACGGTAATAGTCGGGTGAAGTGGTTGAAAATAATGGAGAGGATGAAAAACATGAAGATTAGGACAGACAGAGGCATAGGATAAGAATGAAGAAGAAAAAAAGGAAGAACAGGGATATGCAACTCGAATTAGGACGACAGGGCGCAACTTTTTAGACTACAGCTGGGGCCATACAACTCGATTATTGTTTGTCCTAGGAAGAATTCGATGGATTTCTCTCAATCTGGGACAGAGGGAGTATGTAGATCATGTACGTATCGCATAAAAGCAAGTTTAATAGTATAGTCCATTACTAACTTTAATTCATTTATAGCCAATTCATATAATAGATACTTACTATACTATTAATATATGTTCCTATCTGTCATACACATATTGCGTCTTGGAATCTGTACTACAGCTGGCTACAGATTTATAGCCCGCTGCTCTTCTCTCTCATCATTTATCTCATTAAAATATATTTATAGCTAGCTAATAATCTGTTATTGTATCTGTTCTAATGATGTGTCGCGTACTAAATACGAGTCAAATTTGCAACCATTTCACTGTGAAAAGATCAGCACCACAAGAAAGCACCACGTGTAAAGGCAAGAGATGCCCGCTCCGACGGGGACAAATTCCCAAGTCAATCGATCCATCCACATGGCGCAACAGCAGCGTCCCAGCAGTTAAGCTTTGCCATTCCCCTCACGGCTCATCATTGTTAACCTGATCCTAATTAGCTTTTTCCCCCCCGATTAATTTAATCCATTAGTTTATGGATTACTCCTCTTCTTCTTCCCACAAGTGGACTAGAGGACAAAGAGTTGGTAGAACGAAATGGGGATCTCCCAAGTGTTTTGCAACTAACACCAAAACCGGATTAGTCAGTTTTGGTAGTAGAATCTACTGGAAATGACTTGCTTATTCCATTTTTATATAAAAGAAAAAAATATTAGTTGGGTAGAGCATAGCATAAGTGACCTTGAACATGCAAATCACTGGCGATTCAAACAGTTTCACAAAGGTAAATGAAGGAAACAGTAAAAGTCATGCTATACTAGTGTTTCCCGATTTTTCCTAGCGTCGTACTCGCTCCGTCCCGTAAAAAATAAACGTAGAACGAGATACTACTACTTATGATTCACGATCACATCACCTAGAAAAGGAAAAAGGCTTAATGCTATGATATATAATCAGATCATTGCTAGGTGAAGAATTTCCCCATGTGCCTATGCAATTTTGTGGGCTGATCCATTAGGTAGACGACAATAATTTGGAGTTAGAATTAGAACTGGAGAGAGAGAGAGAGAGGAAGGTGGTCCACCGTACAGTTTGCCAATAGGATGCAGACACGTTGGATCCAGCTTGGCATTTTTCGGGTTAGTTCCAGACTAGTCGGTAATGAACCGAGCCCAAATTCGCTAGAACACGTCGCGAAGGAGGCATAGAACAAACAAACAATCAAACCCCATCCCCCACCCCGAGTAATCGCCATGGATCACACGCACGCGCGCACCAAACGAAGCAACAGCAGAGGCGGCGAAGCAGACAAAGGGGGCGACGCGGAGGGCACATACCTATATCAATCCCGACGCGACGTTGCGGCGGCGGGCGATCAGCGGGGTAGGGATCGGACCTTCCGGTTGCGGCCGCCGCGCGCCAGAGAGATCCTGCATGCGCGCGCGCGCGAACACCTTCGCCGGCCGATCGATCGGACCGACCCCGCCGCTGGCGATCGGCGGGAGTCGGCCGGGAGGAGAGGGGGAGCGCGCGCGGGAGAGATGCAGGGCGTGGTGGGGAAAAAGCTTGTGGAGGAAGGAAGCAAGGCGGGGTGGGGGAGAGGGGACGACGAAACGAGAGAGGAAGAGGAGGAAGACTCGATGGAGAGGAGAGAGCTTTATATCCACGGGGCACGGGGGGAATAGGGGGGGATGGCTTCCGTTTCGTGCACTCGACCTCGACTCGTCTGGGGCCGTCTCATGATGCGGGATATGTATGGATCATGCTGCGTACGACTGCAGCAGTGGTATTACATTATTATTACTAAGGGCCTGTTTGTATGTGTAAGTTTAGTTGAAATTAGAACGATTTGACGAAAAATTTAAAAGTTTATGTGTACGGAAAAGTTTTGATGTGATAAAAAAGTTAAAAGTTTGAAGAAAAAGTTTGGAACTAAACTCAGCCTTAGTTGGCAAAAATTTTACCAACTAATATGGACACATATTTGAAGTATTAAACATAGTCTAATAACAAAACAAATTACAGATTCCACCAGAAAACTGTGAGACGGATTTATTAAACCTAATTAATTCATCATTAGCAAATATTTACTATAGCACCACATGTCAAATCATGACGCAATTAGGCTTAAAAGATTCATCTTGCAATTTGCATGCTATTTGTGTAATTGGTTTTATTTTTGCATACATTTAATACTTCATGCATGTATCTAAACATTCGATGTGACAGCGTAAAAATTTTTATTTTGGGAACTAAACAAGGCCTAACCTTGTTTTCATAAAATTCTCTCGCACATTATCTACTTGTAATCCATTTGAGGGATTGTGAGAAAGAGGAGATTGCTCTCATTCTCCGCGAGCACACTTCCCGAACGGCTAAACGGTATGTTTTTTAAAAAATTATATAGAAAAGTTACTTTAAAAATCATATTAATATATTTTTGAAGTTTAAAATAGTTAATAATCAATTAATCATGCGCTAATGGCTTATCTCGTTTTGTGTTTCTTCCAAACCTGGCCTTTCTCCTTCTCTCAAACGCAGCCTAAATGGATTTGCCATAAATGTGTCGTCATATTTTTCTTGAAAAAATAGTTAGCGTGTATTTGCATTGTACTTTCTTTGTCCCATACAAAACCAACATATTACTGGATGTGAGGCTCTGTCCAGATTTATTGTATTACAATGTGTCATATTCAGTACTAGATTCGTTTTTTTTATGAGACAGAGGGAGTAAGTCCCTAGATTACATATATAATTTTAGGGTATTTAAAATGAATACCCTAAAATTATATATGTAAGTTCCTAATTTACATATGTAATTACACTATATTTATACTATAATTATATTTGATATATTTTTTATCTAAAATCTGTTGTCATATTTTTAGATAGACTTTAAAAGAAATAATAAACTTAATAAGTGATCTAACAGAGCCATTGTTTCGCTTATTCACGGAATAAGAGAAACGACATATTTCCAAATGAAAAGTAATTTGTGAATAAAAATTTTATATACGTGTTCTTAGCGATCTAAAAGCAAAGGCTGAAAAAATAAATTTCGATAAAAAAAACCCCTCAAAATCAGCTCCAAATTTAAGGTTGAAAATTTAAATTTTTGCTGATAAACATAAGCATAAACGAAAAGATGAGGCATGCGTCGTCTTCAACCTCCGAAAGGTAGTCCCGTGCTCGTCAATGTCGGAGCCGATCCTCCCATCAAATTTGGCCGAATATTTCTCGATCTACTAAAATTAGCTGAGGGTTTTTGATCCACTCAATCTCCACTTTCTGTTTTTTCCAAAATTGAAGCGAATCAAGCTCGCTGACCGGCCATCATCAGCAACTTTTAAATAGAGATTACATTTAGCGAATTAATGTCAAATTGGCAGAGAAAATCATGGAGAAAATAATGATGGAGGAATGGGGAATTGATTTTTGCCATCAATTGGAGAAGGAAACATATGAGGAAGTAGATCGACGTGGCAACGGCTATAGGGTTCGGCCCAGCTGTGGCTGACGCGGGGCACGCTGCGCACATGTGGACAGACAAGATGAGATAAAAAAAGACAAAAAAAGGGACTTGCCGCGTGCGCGGAAAAATAAACCGTTTCGTGTGCAAAAAAATGGTAACCAAAAAACCACAAGAACCAAGAAAACCGGAAGCTTGGCGGCTGAGGCGGGGCGTGCTACGCGCGTGCGGATTGGACCGGAGATAGGAAAAAAAAAGTTTAAAACCCAGACTTACCGCGTGCACGGAAAGAAAAAATCGTTCGCGTATAGATGTTTAGATTGCTGCCTTGCCAGATTATGTTAAAGCCAAAATTTAGTAGGGTTAAGTTTGGCAACAAAGTGCGAAGTGAGTGTAGCTAAGGTTCCTTGTGGTGTGGAACGAGTTCATCTGGGTTCAATTCAAGCTCTAGACTTGATACGAGTACTCGTATTTACAGCTATTAATTTTTCAGTGGTAGACGATGTACCATCCACAACGAGTCACTTGTGGTGACCTTATCAATCTAAATAAATTATATTCCAGTTTTTTTCGGAGATGCTCATAGACGTAAGGTATGTGTACGTGTGTTCATAGGGGTAATAGTGTATGTATTTATATTGTGTTTTTAGAAAAAGTTTAGTACAAAGTGAACAGCCTAAAAAAAGAGATGGTTCATTTGTTGAGACCTGTATTTACACGGATATATACGTGCTTGATCGAACTAATCACGAATTTGTGATGTGGCAGCACGATAAAATTCATCGATGAAAACTCATCAGGAGGTCAGGAGTCAGGACTCGGGAGGCAGGCCGACCGCGCAGACGTGCGCGCGTCGGAAATCCCGTCTTGTGTTCCTTTCCGATTTCTCTCTTCCTCCCGTGTGGGACGCACACGTTTTAGAGCCAAACCGAGCTAAACAATGGACTCGGACTAAAAATTGGCGCGTGCAAGCAAACGCTAAGCGGGGCGCGACGCTCAAGCGGAATCGGATAATATGACGTACAAAATAGTTGGGCAAAAATATTTTTAATTTTTATAATAACTAGAAAAAATATCCGTGCGTTGCAACGGGTAAAACCATTTTTGGATTGATATACATTGTACCTTTTGATTTTGGATAAAAACTTATTTTCTTCCTTCCTATTCAGTCTCGGCCCAACCCCCGCTACTTCTCTCTACTTGACTTACTTCTTTTGAACCTAGACCACAAGTAGAGCTATAGGGCTAGCTCGTATAGTCGACTGCCGTCTTCAACCTCGAAGACAGTACCGTGTGGTATGATGCCAGAACCAATACTCCCCATCAAATACGATCCAATCTTTCTCAATCCCCTCAAATTGGTTGAGTGCTCTTATTCACTCGATTTTTTCTTTCCGTTTTTATCAAAACCGCAGCGAATCCATAAAACTCTAGGATATAAATGGTGACTTCTAAATATAGAGATTGAATCTGGTAAATTAAAGCGGAACTAAAAGAAAAAATTATGGGGGAAATGATGATGGAGTAGTGGAGAATTGATTTTTCAATCAATTGGAGGAGGGAAAGCATGAGAAAGCCGATCGATGTAGCGGTGGTGCTAGAATTCGGCCCGACGACGAAAAAACCGGGTAGATAAAAAAAGAATCCTCACAATGTGCACAGACCCTTTCTCATGACAAAAATTGCGAATAAAATATAAGGACAAAAAAAAGAGGATGGGAAAAAAAGAAAAGCGGAAAAAAAAAGAAAAAAAAGGCGGATAAAAGAGAGGGACTATTTTTTTGCTGTTTTATAATGTGTTTTTTTCTCTGGTAATTTTTGCGGTCTTTTTTCTACACCGTTTTTTAGACGACAGTTTCTTTTTTCGCGTGGCTTTCTTTATTTTTTTTACGATCGGTGACTTTTATATTTTTGTACAGTCGGCTTTTTCTGTTTTTTTCAGCTTTTTTCCGCCACATTATTTTTCCCGTTTCCAGTCCGGATCGGACTTTTTTTCGCTGTTTTTCTTTCGCGTTTCATTACGATGCGTTTTCTTTTCCCGCATGATTTTTTTTCACCCTTTCTAAAATTACGGATTTTAAGTAGTAGAGATTAAAACTGAAAAAAATATTAAAACCTACTCAAATACGGATGACGTACCAAAATATTGGCAAAAACATCTTAAACTTTTATAATAGGTAAAGACAAGCAAAAATGTCTGGGCGTTGCAACGGGTGAAAAAAATTCTAATGATAAATACGTTTTATATGCATAATGATTTCAATGACAATGTTAAATTTAATGAGCGGCTTGTTTTTTTATAAACGGTGTTCGCGATTTTCTCAAACCATTTTTTAGAAATGACGCATTTCTTTCTAAAATTTTTTCTTAGAAATGTTTTTTTTTGCTTTTTTTACTGACGACGAAAACCATATTTTTCTCCCTTTTTTTCTCGTGTGTTTTTTGCCTATTTTTTTGACAATTATTTTCTCACGTGTTTTTTTGCTTGTATTTTCGAATGTTCTTTTTTTTACTTTTTTCCAATACAGGAGAATATATGATGAAATAAAAGCCGTGTAGTAGATGGCAAAAAAATGATGGATTCTATCCGACTCAAGCGTCCATCAATTTAGCGTTTTTCTGATAGTTTTTTCCAGAGAGATTTGTTTTTAAATAGACGGTGTTTTTTTCTTGCGAGGTTTTCTTAAACCATTTTTTTTAGAAATGGCACGTTTTTCTGGCAGTTTTTTCCTCGCATGTTTTTTTTTAAAAAAAACATTTTACCGACGATGGAAATAACTCTTCTCGCAAGTTTTTTTATTTTTTTATGGAAGATGGAAAACATTTTTATAGTATTTTTTTGCGCTTTTTCTAACTTTTTTCTCACATGTTTTTTGAACCGTTTTTTATTTTCTCATGCATTTTCTCTTTTTAAATAGTTAGATTAGATTAGAGATAGAGAAGAGATATATACTGATTAGAAATCAGACTTTGTTTCACCCATTCTATTTTTTTCTCGCGTGCATTTTTTAATTCATACGAACCAGCTTTTATTTTTTACGAACCATTTTTTTGCCACTTTCTTAGATGTTTTTTTAGATGTTTTTTTCAGATTTTTTTTCGCCTTTATAGGAATCGGACTTTTTTTCCCTTTTTAAAGGAATTGGATCTAGCTTTTTTTCACCACT